CTGAATTGAAACTTTAATCCGAATTAATTTCTACGAACGCACAATTTCTGCTTGTAAATTATTAATGTTCTTGTGTCAAAATTGGTAGATATAATGCATATTACTGCGAAAAGATTAGATCTCACAAGTTTCTCGATGCTTTAACAGTTTTTCTTTTATTTGTAGTTTCAAATCAATTTTAACCCACAACGACGGTAAGACCCGAGTCATTATAGCGATTATTTTTTTATTGTTAGTCACATCTGGAACCCTTAACCTTAGCAGTAGAGTCTTTCGTTCGCAGTAAACTATTCGTGTCGAGGTATTGCTGCTTTTATTACTTGCTTAGGTCACTGCTGGTAAACCCAGACACACTTCATACGTCGCTCCATTTCCATCTCCACCCAAATTTTACCTAAACCGATAGAAAATTAGAAACTGTTTTCCCTCGGCAATGTCACAAAAATTCTACGGCCACTCCGAGCTTTCGTGAAACGTAAAAATTCTTCGGAGACACTCTCGAACAAACAGTGATCAAGTACGTTGCAAAATAAACTAGTCGTTCGAAGTGAAATTCATAGAGTCCACTTATATTCACTCGTATCCTAATGATTCGTCGTTTAATCGTCACTTAATATTGCTGACGCTGTGACGCACATACACTTAGTTCTTAACCATTTGCCTTATGATTTATCAGGTGCTTTGGAACTAACTGATCACAGCTACAATATTAAAACTGGAAAGAAAAGTTGAAGTGTTATGTCAATTTTGTATTCGGCAATCCTTGACCATGCAAATTATAATTGGACTTAAACTCCAAATTGAAGCGTATTCAAAATTCGAGTAAGATTTGGCAGGTTTGAAGCGTGCAGATGTGGGTTGAGTGCGTCACGTGTAGCTTGAGTGCGTCATATGTAGATTGACTGCGTCATATGTAGCTTGAGTACGTCATGTAAAACATAAGTGCGTCGTCTGTACCCTAAGTGAGTCGTATGTAGCTTGAGTGCGTCATATGTAGCCTGAGTGCGTCATATGTAGTTTGAGTGCGTCGTGTGTAGTTTAAGTGCGTCATATGTATCTTAAGTGCGTCATATGTAGCTTGAGTGCGTCATGTGTAACTTGTCATTTGTAGCTTGAGTGCGTCGTGTGTAGCTTGAATGCGTCATATGTAGCTTGAGTGCGTCATGTGTAACTTGTCATATGTAGCTTGAGTGCGTCGTGTGTAGCTTGCGTGCGTCAAATGTAACTTGAGTGCGTCATATGAAGTTTGAATGCGAAGTAAAATTTATAGAGTCCATTTATATTCACTCGTCTAACAATTCGTGTCTTTTAATCGTCACTCACTGCTGACGCAGCAACGCACATACAATTATTATAATAGTCGAATTTTATTTGAAGAGAAACGTAGAAATCCCGGCAAAGAACTTCTGGACAGTGTAAAATAAATGCAAATGGAGTTTTGACCGGACTAAGTAGTACATCTCGTAAATGGAACGACAGGTCTGACCATAGTGACTTGTTCTACTGAATATTCAGTATGACTGTGTTTCGTTTGAAATTCTGTCCCTCGTTTAGTTTTCCTAAATCTGTTTTTATACGTAAGTCTGTTCCTTCCTGAATGTTTAATACTCTACATGATATAAGCTTTCTCGTGTATTTCGCCTAATATCAACGTAATTTTAATAATAATTGCTAATGGTATTTAAATAAGCTCGTACGAGAGAAATTAACATTTGCGTAATACAGTATGTGGAATTTTTCGTGAATTAGTAGGTTATTTTCTAGTTTAATTTTTTCATATTTTTATTTATTAAATTTTTAATTTCCTAATTTTCTAATTTTCTAAATTTTAAAACACCTAACTTATTAAATTAACTTCCCCAAATTTTCAGATGTTAAAATTCCTAAATTTCTATATTTGATGTTTCAAAAATTGTTCAACTTGAAAACTACATTTTTGAACTTTATAATTGCCCATTAAAAGTTTTTCATTTCCACAATCTTGTATCCTATATTTACAAAATTTTTATTTGAATTTCAATTTCATTTGTAATGGTTTTCGTCTAAAATTACCCAATTTTCACTCCAATTTTAATAACCCATCCTAAAATTCCAAAACTTCAATTTGAATTTTAATACGAATTTTAATTTCAGTTTGAACATAAATTTCACATTTTAAAATTACAGAATTTCAAAATGATGAAAGTTCCTCCACATCGAATTACACCCCAAAAGCACCTAACTAAAAAGCATACCAAGTACTCCAAAATGTATACTAAAAATCGTATACCAAGTACACATAAATGTAAAGCGTTATCGCAACAAACAAACACATATCATTTTTTCCAGTTTGTAGTATCCTTTATCGGTCGTCCGAAAATATCTCGGTTGAAGGTATAAATCTGGGGTGTTCGATACGGGCGACGTTTGTCTGTAGCGAAACGAGCGAGCGACTCTCGAAACGTGGCCTCGTCATAAACACAAAACTAGCACGCGATCGTTCGCAGTTTGCTGCAAAAGAGGAAAAGAACCCTCTGCTCGGTGTCGGTCCGATAAAAGTTTCGTCGGTGTTACGAGTGTTAGTGGATGGCGGAGGGATTTGGAGACACGCGTGGAAAACCCGTCTCTGTGTTACTCTACTTTATGGGAGTTAGGATAAGTGCGAAGAAAAGTTCACGGCGTCTGCAATGCGTCTCGGTAACGTTCTCGGCGATATCTCTCGAGCTGCGTGAGAGTGTTGCTCCCATATATTTTCACCCGGGCGTCTTACAGTTGTTCTTTGCCTCGTAATTTATGGACTTCTGATACTTCATAAACGATCAGTTTTATTTAGTTTTCGATATTAACTCATAGTAGAAATTATTCAAAATTACTACTGAAAGGTAAGGGTACAAAAAAGAGTGATCGTGCTGAAATTATAACGAAAGTCCTTGATTATAAGCAATACCCTTGAATTTTTTAGGAATTTTATCAAATCATCAAGTTGCTAAATTTTTGAATTTACAATTTACTAAACTACCAAATTTTTAAATTACCAATTTTCCAAATTTCCAAATTTTCAAATTTTCAAATTTTCAAATTTCCAAATTTCCAAATTTCCAAATTTCCAAATTTCCAAATTTCCAAATTTCCAAATTTCCAAATTTCCAAATTTCCCAAATTTCC